TCTATTGAGGGCAGAGGGCTCTGTCAATACTGTGGACCTACTGAGAAGAGGAGCCAGCCGTGGGTGAACTTGACGCGGCCTGAGCAGTGGGTGGGCATTTGCTGTCTTGTGGCGCCCCCTGGTGGCCATCATGCAGGCGCATGCTCAGGTGCCTCCCCCTTCTCTCACTGCAGGGTTTGCCCCTCTCCTGGCACCCACCTCCCATGTGGCCACCCACAGTGACGTGTGCAAATCCACAAAGTGGCAGCTCTTGGCCCCCGTGGAGTTGTGTGCTTCTGGATGACCAGGTGAGTTGGAAGTCCCTGTTACAGTTCACATTATTAGTAACGGCGTGATTATTAAGCAGCTAGTGTTGATACTGTAAACATAATATGATCATTGTTTGCCACCTATGGGTCCCTGAGCAACCTCTCTCAGCCTCAGTTTCTCCATCTATGAGATGGTGATGATTGCAAGAATTAAGGGAAACGGTGCATGTTAAATCATAGCCCAGGACAGGCAGGTTTTCCATGAACAAGGGCTGTCATGAGTATTTGGGGAAATATTCTCCTGAGGGTGGGCTGGTATACCAGGAGAGGTCAGCTGTTACTCACCCAGCCGGCATGTCAGAAAGCTTCTTGGCTTCCATTTCCCCACCTGTGAAATGACCACCTCGGTCACACTGTCTCCCAGGGATGTGAGGGAGTGCCAAGGAAGACCAGAGCTTGACAAGTGCTTCCCGGATACGAAGGATGGGAAAGTTTTCCAGAGGAGGAGGTCAGACTCCTAGGCACCACCCCGGGCCCCAAAAGAGAGCGGCAGCTTATTCCTGGAAGATCACGGGGTCAAGGACAGCAAGCACTGCTTGAGAAGAAAAGGAGAGAGGGGCCAGTGTGTTAATGCCCAGCGAGGCTTCTGGGCCCTTGTCTACTGAGCCCCAGAAAAGCCAGCAGCTGCCGGGGTGGTGGCTCACACCTATAATCCTAGCACTTTGAGAGGCTGAGGTGGGCAGATTAACTGAGATCAGGCAAGACCAGCCTGGCCAACATGGTAAAACCCCCATCTCTACTAAAAATACAAAAAATTAGCCAGGTGCTGTGGTGCACACCTGTAATCCCAGCTACTCTGGAGGCTGAGGCAGGACAATCACTTGAATCCAGGAGATAGAGGCTGCAGGGAGCTGAAATCATGCCACTGCCCTCCAGCCTGGACTACAGAGCGAGACTTCGTCTCCAAAAAAAATAAAGAAAAGCCAGCAGCCAGTCCTCTAGTCAGGAGATGGGGGGCTCCTCCTGGAAAAGCTGGCTCCCCCAAACGGCCCTGCCAGACAGTGACTAGTGTACACAGAGGACAGCTTCTGAGAGGAGAGCCAGAGAATAGGCAGAGGAGAGAACACCCAGGAAGCAGGGGACACACACAACAAAACCCCAGCATCCTTGGAGTCAGGGAATGGTGGGGTATCTGCAGACAAACCCAGGATGCTGTTTCCCCAGAACCGCGAAGGAAAAGAAACAGCTTCTTGAAATTAAAACAACCATAGCGTGAAGTTTTGAAAACATCCAGTAGAAGAGCTAGAAGACAAGGCTGGGTGGGGCACAGTGGCTCACACCTGTAATCCCAGCACTCTGGGAGGCCTGACCGGCAGATTACTTGAGGCCGGAAGTTCAAGACAAGCCTGGCCAACATAGTGAATGAAACCCTATCTCTACTAAAAAATACAAAAATTAGCTGGGCTTGGTGACACATGCCTGTAATCCCGGCTACTCAGGAGGCTGAGGCAGGAGAATCTCTTGAATTTCATAGGCCAGAGGCTGCAATGAGCAGAGATCCTGCCCCTGCACTCCAGCCTGAGGGACAGAGCAAGACCTCAGTCTTAAATTTTTTTAAAGCAAAGGTAAAAAGATTTTCCAGAAAACACAGTGTACAATAAGAAAATTAGAGGATCACTGTAGATGGTTCAACATGTAATTTTAAAGTTAGGAAAGAAAGGAAATGGAGAAAACAGGATGCCCGAAGGCATAACACGGGACGTCTGCTAGGAGCAGAACGCCGAGTGTCAGGTGGAAAGGCTCTACTGAGCACCAGCACAGCCAGGGGAGAGCCGAGGCCCAAGGACTACAGAGAGGGTGTGGGCCAGACGTGATGGTTCACACTTACAATCCCAGCACTTCGGGAGGCCGAGGCGGGTGGATCCCTTGAGGTCAGGAGTTCGAGACCAGCGTGGGCAACATGGCGAAACCCTGTCTCTTCCAAAAATACAAAAATGTTATCTGGGTGTGGTGACAAGCGCCTGCAGTCCCAGCCACTCAGGAGGCTGAGGAATGAGAATTGCTTCAGTTCAGGAGGGGGAGGTTGCAATGAGCTGAGACCACGCCACTGCACTCCATGCAGCCTGGGCTTAGATCCAGCCTGGGTCACAGAGCAAGACCCTGTCTGGAAAAAAAAAAAACCACGCAAAGATTCAGTCACATAGCACAGGGAGCAGGAGAGTATGGGCTCTCCACGGCTGCTCCGGGAGCCGGAAGATGGTGAAATACACTCACAGGCTGAGTGTAAAGTATTTACCTATGCCATCAACCAAAGGTGAGGTAGAATAAGGCCAAAATACTGGAGACTTGAAGAGTAAGGCTCCCAGGGAGTATGTTGTACCACTGGTAGGATCCGGAAGCACAGAAAGGCCACACCCTGAACCCAGCAACCCTGGAGAAGCCAGGTCATCTCAGCAGGGAATGGGGTGGTGGCAGGTTGATGCCTGTGGCAGAGGCTGGCTTGGCTGCAGGCACTCAGTGACAGCAGGAACGGATGCACAAGAGGCAGCTTCACCTCTGTAAAAGCAAAAGGTTAGACAAATCAGAGGCCCAAGGCCGGGCGCGGTGACTCATGCCTGTAATCCCAGCACTTTGGGAGGCTGAGGTGGGCGGATCATGAGGTCAAGAGATCCAGACCATCCTGGCCAACATGGTGAAACCCCGTCTCTACTAAAAAAAAAAAAATTAGCTGGGCATGGTGGCATGTCTGTACTCCCAGCTACTTGGGAGGCTGAGGTTGCAGTGAGCTGAGATCCTGCCACTGCACTCCAGCCTGGCACCTGGCAACAGAGCGAGACTCTGTCTCAAAAAAAAAAAAAAAAAAAAAATCAGAGGCCCCTATCTAGATTAGATGCAGAGTATTCAGTCATCACCACTAAACTTTATTGTGTACGAAATGCAGGACGTACGTACATTTGGTGAATGGGGAGGGGAGAGCAGGCAGGAAACCCGGAGTTCTCTGGACTGCAGATGTGCTGTGCCTAGAACCTTCTTGGGAAACTTGCTGGCTGTTTTGGGAAGCTGCTTGCAGGGGCCCATCGGCCCTGGTCACTGCGCCACGCGTTCTTATAACTCAGAGACCGGCTCAGCTTTCAGCTCCCAGAGCCAGCCATAGGCCTGTCACAACTTACTTTCCTTTGGCGTCTTCAGGTTGTCTTGGCTAAAATTAGCAGCTGGGTGAGGAACAACAGTTTTGAGGAGGGTACTCAGGAGACGTTGTAGGGCACTTGCAATTTGTGTGTGTGTGTGAGACGGAGTCTTGCTATGTTGCCAGGCTAGAATGCAGTGGTAGGATCTCTGCTCACTGCAACCCCCACCTCCCTGGTTCAAACGATTCCCCTCCCTCAGCCTCCCAAGTATCTGGGACTACAGGCGTGCACCACTGCGCCCAGCTAATTTTTTGTTTTAGTAGAGACAGCGTTTCACTACATTGGCCAGGATGGTCTTGAACACCTGAACTTGTGATCCACCCACCTCAGCCTCCCAAAGTGCTGGGATTACAGGCGTGAGCCACCGTGCCCGGCTGGCACTTGCACTTCTTCTGTGGGCATCCTGCTTTTTGTGTGCAGCTCCCCGGCTACCTACCCTTCAAGCTACTTTCCCTGCTTTTCTTACCCAAGCCGAGCATGTGTATAGAAAATGGGATTTAGCCACTTTCCTATTTGGGGGACATTTATGTTTTAATATAAGCGTCATACTTCTATATAATGAGCCTGCTTAATCTAAGGAATACAAATAATATTGCAGCAAAATTCGGCACAACCACAGACACAAGCTGGAGCTGCTGTCCACGCCTCTGAGTTCGTCTCCTTCCCTTTTCTGCATGTCTGGAATGCCACCGGGCACCCCAAGGCACAGCATGCGCGAGGCAGGGCCGTGGCACACACCAACCATCTGGCCTCTGGAAGGTAAGTGGGCATTTTGGTTCCCTCACAGTGCAAATATTAGACAAATCTGGTCAATGAATTAAAACCAAATTGTAGGTACCTGAGATTCTGGACTGTGGAGAGATTTTTGAAACACTGTTTTTGTTTTAATGTGCAATGAAAAGAACTAAAACGATGGGAGTTGGCTGAGCACGGCTCACGCCTGTAATCCCAGCACTTTGGGAGGCCAAGGTGGGCGGATCACCTGTGGTCAGGAGTTCGAGACCAGCCTGACCAACATGGTGAAACCCCCATCTCTACTAAAAGTACCAAAATCAGCCTGGTCTGGTGGCATGTGCCTGTAATCTCAGCTACTCAGGAGGCGGACGCAGGAGAATTGCTTGAACCTAGGAGATGTGAGGTTGCGGTGACCCAAGATCACGCCACTGCACGCCAGCCTGGGTAACAGAGCGAGACTCCATCTCAAAACAACAAACAAACAAAAAATGATGGGAGTCGAATTAAATGTTCAACAAGCAGCGGCCCTCACAGAGCAGCAGTCCTCCGTGGGCAACATTTGTAAGTCATGCATGAACACCTGGGTCACTAGTTTTGGGCATGAAAGCATTTAGAGGTTCTGGAAACTGCTTGGGAGCGACCTTAACAGCCTGGGGCTGGGTCCATGAACCACGCAAAGGCTACACCCTGAAAACACTGCCATCCATGAAGAACAGGCGCTTTGGAAACCATTTGAGAACTGTCAGTGGATTACTTTATTTCATATAAAAGTTACATTGAAAGAGGTTGAAAAGTCAAGTATACTTGATTTGCACACACTTGCCAAGTCTCACAGGATTCAACCACTTGGATAATTTTTTTATTGATAACAGGATATACATATTAAAAGCCTCACACTGAAGCCCATACACATGTCCACCCAGACAACAATGTGCAAATGAATATGCAAAACAGTCTCTGGAAACTCGCGTCTCCAGGATCACGCACGGTCTATGCTTTGTCCCTGTGACTGTGACGCACTTCTCCCCCTACCGGCGCACACGCTTCCGCGGTGACCGCATCCACTTCCAAACCCCCCCCCGCAGGCTTGCTCGCCTGGCTAGGACGGTGGCTCAGGTAGGTCCCTTTGTGGCTTTGCATCAGCAGTGGTAGAAGCCCTGATTCAGATGGGGTACAGAGTAATTAAAAACAAAACACAGTTCACAGATGAACGGAAAGGCAAACAGTTCCCAGGAGGGAGACGCCAACTTCTCTCAGCATGGAGGGCAAGCTTAAAGGAAGACCCTCGGACTGTGTCAGATTGCTTCTGGATGCATCTGTCAAAAAATGTACAAACCAGGCAAGGTTAAGGCAAGTCCCCACGGAGGGGAGCTGTTGGCTTTCTGGCATAAATTTAAGCTCCACACGAAGGATCCTATTTTATCACCTGTGCGGTGGGTAGAGAAAACATCAAAGCTAACAAAAAAATGCAACAGGAGGGCGCCATCCTGACCATTCCCACCTGAGCGCGGCCTGCGCGGTGGCACAGTCGCCCCTGACAGGGGCTGGCTGCCTCATGGTCCCCTCACCTTCCCAGAGGTGCCCAAGGTCCGGGGCCTGCCTCTCCACTTGGAATGCGTCCCCTGCCCCACACACCAACAGCATGGAGCTGCCCAATGGGAGCTGCGGCTCTGCCCTTCCCCAGGAGCCATTTAGACACTGCTATATTTGGCTGGAACAAAAAAAAATCAGTTCCAAGGCCCTCAAGCACTCAAGATTTTTTTTTGAAAAATTAAAGCAGGAGGGCAATGAAGGACCGCACAGCAACAACTGTTCTTTGGATCGAGATGTCCTCCAGTAGCAATACATTCATAGTAACCACGGAGAGGACCCCGCGGCCGCTCCCCCCTCTTCCCTGAAACGTCGGTTTCTAAAAAATAGCTTGTTTGCTGTACACAGCCGGTAAATGTTACACTGCCTCAACAACACTGGCAATTTTGATGCACACATGCACACACACACGCAGACGCACGCACACAAACTTGCTGAGAGGGTCAAAGGACATCTCTTTCGGGGCAGCGGGGAGTGTGCTGGAAGTCACCTTCACTGTTCAGTGCACAGATCTTTTGTAACATCGGTGCAAAGCATCAGAAGCTAATGGAGACCAAAACGTCTTTCTATGGAAACACCCTGCTGTGGGGTCCGGGGAGTGCACTGCTGAGAGGGGGTCAGCAGGAGCCCCCGGAAATGACTGCTCGGAGAACGCCTGTTCACTGGATTGGCTGTCTTCATGACTGGAAACAGCAGCTCAGTACACAGGATTTGAATAACCCATGTAATAACCCCACCGACTTCTTAGAAAATGCAAAGTATTCTTAACAAAAATCCTAGCTCTGCAGGAAGGCCGTGACATTTGGCTTCTTTGCGTGGCCACGCACTTTCCGACGTTGTACAGGTGGGGACTGAGCGCCTTCTCCGGTGTGGAGAATCTGCCGTCTGTGACTAGAAGTATATAAAACTCTGCTTGCTGCAAGCAGTTGGTCTGTGTAGGTTCCAGTTGCCCTGTTGGTCACAGATGAGCTGTTGATCTCCTTCAGACCCCAAATAAATAAGCAGAAGTCTGTGAGCAAGTTCCAGCCTGTCGAACCAGGCCTCACACTGAGAACTCCGGGCTGCCTTTTCTGGGTCTCGTGGGCAGTCGCCTAAAGCGAAAGCCAACAAAGGGATTCATCCAGAGGAGTGAGGGGGGACCCCCAAAGACGGACTTCATCCCTTCCCATCGCAGCCTCCGCTCCCACGTGGGCTTCTCACTTTTCAATCGCTCAATTTCCTGGAAGCAGAAAGAAGAGCAAGTGGCAGCGGCTCCAGGAAGCTCGGCAGACCCCATGGAGCCTGAGAATCGCACGGTGTTCAAGCACAGTGTGGAACTCTCCCTCCCAGCTCCACCCCAATCCAGACGCCCATCCATGGCCTCTGTGAGCACAACCCTGGCTGCAGCCATCCGGCCAGCCCAGACTGCCACATGGCCGTCACAGCCAAGCACCAACATTTTGCACCTGTCAGTTACTGTGTACAAACATTTACTGAGCACCGCTCCAGGCCTGCAGAGCCAGGCCCCAAAAGCAGTCAATTCCCTGAAATTCACTGACTGCGCTGGGAGATGGGAGTCTGCCTGCCTCTGCTGACTCGCAAATCAAATTAAGACTAGAACTATGCACCACCCAGAATGAAAGCGACAGCAAACACAGGAAAGGCTGAAGCTATCAAGACCGCCCCATTACTCTCCCGAGTAGGTCCACAGGCACCTGCTGTTAACATCAGGACTTCCATTTACTCAACCTTCGACCACGTATTACGTACACGCAGCTGAGAACAAAACTTACCGTCTCATCATTGCATATGGAGTGGATCTGGGTGCCAAACATAACTGCAGTGAAGGTGAAAAACAGAAGACCCTCAAGGCACAGGAAGATCAACAGGATTACAGTTACTGGAGGTGAAAAATCACTGCATTCTGTGAACAAGAGGGAGCTGGTTATAACTGGCCCTGAACACCCGGAGTGGCACAATGTTTGGTTCAGAGAAGAACCCACTAGGGCCAGTCCCCGGCAAGCTTCCAGCGGGGAGGAGCTGTTTCTAAATGGGCGCATTCACTGTTCTCCAAGGAGCAGAGGAGGGTCACCCTTCCAAGCAAAAATTCACACCACCACTTCCCGGCCAGTGGCTTCAAAGTTCTGTGTTTTCTGAGGTTTCCCTGACACTGTATTTGTGTATTAAATAGCAACTGAGGCCAGACCAGAAGGGTTGTGTGCACCCGTACTTGTGAGCAGTGCCCACAGGAGTCCACTCCCCACGTTCCCTGGGGTGGGATGAGCCTGTCCAGACCTCTGCGTATCTCAGGTAAGACAATGAGCGCTTGTTTTCACGACACCTGCTTAGGGTCGGTACTCACAGGGACAATGCAAAGCCTGCTCTGAACAATGGAGAGCTAGCTGACCAGAAGACAGACACAAGCTTTGGGGGAAACCACAGCAATTTCCCTCCAGTCTCAATACACTAGCAAAATAGTTAAGTAGAACTTAACTAAATTCTTTAAAATTCAATTCCTAAAATAACCACAATGATTCCCTTGAAAATTAGAAACCTGGTTCTTCCTTTAAAGCATTCCCCTTTCACCCAGTAACAGCATGCAAGGCAGCGAATGACGCAGGACAAGGGAACTTACCAGTCCACTGTCCTCGGACGCAGGAGATGAACTGCAACCCACAGAGGATCAGAGCGTGGACTGAAGACAGAGCTATATACATCTACAACAAGGGTGAGACTGCTTAGATACTTTTTTACATTATTTTTTTAGAAACAGAGTCTCCCTCTGTCGCCCAGGCTGGAATGCAGTGGTGTGGTCTCAGCTCACTGCAACCTCCACGTCCTGGGTTCAAGCAATTCTATTGCCTCAGCCTCCCAAGTAGCTGGGATTACAGGCACGCACCACCACACCTGGCTAATTGTTTTGCATTTTTAGTAGAAACGGGGTTTCACCATGTTGGCCAGGCTAGTCTGGAACTACTGACCGCGAGTGATCTGCCCGCCTTGGCCTCCCGAAGCGCAGGCACAAGACACCGCGCCTGGCCAGCTAGTAACAGAAACAATCACATCTTTCTAGGAGCAAAGGTTGATCAAGCATCACGTTTATACTTCCATCTTATTTGTCAGGGAAAAATGAGGGAAGGATTAAATTGCAGTAGTTGACATTTTCCTATCCAAGATCATATAACACCAAGTAGAATAATTTTATTAAAAAATACAGCTGGGCATGGTGGCTCACACCTGTAATCCCAGCACATGGGGAGGCCAAGGCAGGTGGATCACCTGAGGTAGGGAGTTCCAGACCAGCCTGACAAACATGGAGAAACCCTATCTCTACTAAAAATATAAAACTAGATGGGCGTGGTGGCGCCTGCCTGTGATTCCAGCTACTCAGGAGGCTGAGGCTGCGGTAAGCTGATATCACGCCGTTGCACTCCAGCCTGGGCAACAAGATCAAAACTCCATCTCAAAATAAACAAATAGGGAAATAAGCTCTAACATAGTTTAGGAAGATTCCTATTCTTATTATTAATAAACAATAGTGATTGAGGACATCTGGGAGAGAATGAAACTACAGTGAAGACCTAAAATAATACAAGCAACATATTTATGTATTGGGACTACTGCCTACAGTATTATAACGTGAATCCTGGAGAAAAGGATGGAGAGAAGCTGGTCTGACGTTGGTACACATTTCCCTGCTCCAGGCAAGATGCAGTTACAGAATGTCAAGTTCAATGTAAGTCACTACAAAAGTATTTTTACTTACAGTGAAGAGCACAAAAAATCTTTGATTCTTTTCTCCTACACAATTGTTCACCCACGGGCAGTGATGATCCATTTTCCGAATACATCTTTTGCAAATACTGAAAAGAAAAGATTGATTTTCAGTATTCCATGCTCAGAGGAAACCAGAGTGACACAACCAAATAAAATCAAAGGTGGAGGAAATCAGAACACATGTCCTAATACACCATGTGAAACAATCATACGCACTCACTATATTCCTTTAGGGTTTATCATTTTAATTCAATGTCTCCTGTTTCCTAAGGAAAACAGTCAATGGGTCAACGGGATGAGGCGGAAGACCACGCTGAGCCACACTTCACGAGTTTTCACTCTCCCCCCCATAAAACTGGATCATGGACACCTAGCAATAATGTTCCCAATTTTGCAAGCTTACAAGTTATAACTCTATTTCAGTAAGAAACAAAAATTGAATTTTTACCTTTAGGGAAAGAAACATTCTTCGTTTCTTCAAATAATTCCTACCACTTTAACCCATATTCACTGATGAATATGTATATTCACCTTGAATCGTGCAACTATATACCCATGCTTTAAGTCATCTCGTTTTTCCAGCTGTAATTTACTTTCGCCCAAAATACGCTGTATGTCCAATTTTAAATAACTGATTGGATATCAGTTACTTTTTAGTAATAACTTGTACCAATTAATGACATCAAGCAGGCATCTATGGCATCAGGTTTGCTCCAGGCAGACTTGCTATCATAGGGTCGGCTTCTACTCATTGACCTGGGTTCCCTGCCTGACCTCCACAGCACCTGACTTCCAAAACATTCCCATTTTATCTTGTTAATCAGCTATACTGAAGTATAATTTATATACCATAGGCTGGGCGAGGTGGCTCATACCTGTAATCCCAGCACTTTGAGAGATAAGGGAGGTGGATTACCTAAAGTAAGGAGTTCAAAACCAGCCTGGCCAAAGTGGCAAAACCCCATCTCTACTAAAATACAAAAATCAGCTGGGCGTGGTGGCGGGCGCCAGTAATCCCAGCTACTAGGGAGGCTGAGGCACAAGAAGCACTTGAGCCCAAGAGGCAGAGTTTGCAATGAGCCAAGACCGCGTCACAGCAAAACTCCGTGTCAAAAAAAAAAAAAAAAAAAAAAAAAAAAATTATATATCATAAAAGTTTACTCATTTGCATTGTACAACTCAATGATTTTTATTCTACCTGGAGTTGTGAGACCATCAACATCTAATTTTAGAACATTCGGCTGGGCACGGTGGCTCACACCTGTAACCCCTGCACTTTAGGAGGCTGAGGCAGGCAGATCACAAGGTCAGGAGTTCAACACCAGCCTGGCCAATATGGTGAAACCCTGTCTCTACTAAAATACAAAAAATTAGCTGGGCGTGGTGGTGCGTGCCTGTAATCCCAGCTATGCAGGAGGCTGAGAGAGAAGTATCACTTGAACCTGCGCAACAGAGCAAGACTCTGTCTCAGAAAAAAACAAACAAAAAAAAAAACATTCCTACCGCCCCAGAAACAAACCTCAGCCCATCCAGAGTCACCCCAGCTCAAGACAATCACCCATCTACTCCCTGATACCATTTCGTCTTTCTTCACTTTGTGGCCAAACTATGTAGATATGAATCTGTTAAAGCTTTCACTCCAGCCATAAAGCAGTCAGCATCCCCTCTGTCTGTTTCCTCCCACTGGAGGTCCTCAATGGCACCCAGCTTATCCGAGCAGGGCACGACCCTTGGGAGAAGGTACTGTCTAGGTGTAACCACACCCCAGCAGTTTCCCAGTACAGGGATGTGTGGCACTATTTCAAGGAATGGAGAAACACCCCCAGACTTTCACACTTCAGCAAGTGAAATCGACGGTCGGCCCTCCAGGAGCAGGCAAAGGAGTCAGGAACTGGCACATCTGGGGGAAGCAGATAAAATGCAACCAAGACCAGCAGGGGTGAGGCGTGAGGGCCAGGAAGGTTACGTGAGCCAGGCAGATAACTGAACTATGGGTTTTTAAAAATACAGTAACTGGTGTTTGAGAGCACACCAAATAAAATTTAAAAAAAATAAAGAGCACGTCCAAAAGCGCCTAGCCTCTGCAGTGTACCACCACCCTAGGTGAGAAGAAAACCGAATGCACACAGCCCTTCTGCTGGCTGGAGAACCCCAGAGCAGGAGTGAGGGGAAGGTTCTGAGCCCTTCTCCTGGCCCCACACAGGATGTGCCCAGGGCTGTGAGCACACATGTGCTAGCCCCTGGCATGTGTGCCAGGAACAGAGGCGGGAACCTCAGCACCTCCTCTGGCTGTCATGCCACAGCGAATCCCTAGGGAAGGAGGGGATCCCAAGCCCATACTGGTTCCCAGCTCCCAAAAAGACTAGGGCACTGGCCCGTTACTCAGCTCCCAACCCAAGAAAGAGACGCTGAGGGGCCAGCCTGTGAATGCCGACAGGTGCTGGGGCCGTACCTGCAGTGGTGGGCACGCTCAGGTTTAATACAGCAGCACTTGGGGCACTTGTAGATCACCTCCCCGGGCTTCAGCTGCAGGCTCTCCATGTATTCTTTTGTAGCGTTTCCTTTGGGTACCGCCCCCTACCGTTTAAGAAGAATGTATTTTAGTTGGGGAAAAGGAAAGGTTTTTTTTAAAGTAGAAATTCATATATTTTATCATCAAACAATAAACAAAAACTACCTTATTACCCTTTTGATAAATGGCTTAACCACCTGCATTTTTCGGAGGCAAGGCTTGTCCCCAGAGAGGGGCCCTGTGTGTCTCGGGGGTGGGGGCAGGGAGCCTCTGTACACACCACTTCCCTGTAGCCCCTGTTGATGGGGAGGTGACTGATAACCACTGCCCAGAATTTTCTTATCGGGCAGTTGGGGAACAAGGAACAAAACAATCTCAAAAAAAGCCTGTAATCTCGTGTTGCTAAAGTGACGTGATACTTTTGTCTCTTGGCCATCCTCCTCGAAGGCATCCACACACAAACCTGGAGGCGGCAGCCCAGACCACCTGACCCCATTCATGTCTGGCAATGAGGCAGCCCAGCAGGGGCAGCACCAGAAAGTTGAGCGTGCATCTCTCTGTGCTCCAAATGCTAGCAGAGCTGGACAGGATGAGCAATGGTGAAGCAGCGGGAAGAGGCGTCAGGAAGGCCGTGAGCTGACGGTTAAGGGGCAGAGCTGGAGGCCAAGAGTCATCCTACTGGTGCTGTGTCAACTGAGGACCTGATGTAGGGAAGGTGAGGCCTGAGCTGGCTGCAACCGCAGAGGCTTTGTTCTTTGGGCAGTGGAGATATGTAATCAAAACCATGTTTGTAGGAGATAATTCTGGAAGCTGTGGCAGGTGGAATAAGATAGGCAGACCTGCCTGGGGGGTCCAGTGCCTCAAGAAGAGGAACAAGGCCTTGTGTCTGCCTCTTAGCCCAGAGCCTGTACTTCACATAGAAATCACAGATCTGGAGAATGAGACCAACAAACATTGGGAACAGCAGGTGGGGCTCCAGTGACTGTACAAAGACAAGGGGTAGGGGCAGGACAAATGGAAAGGTGGGAGCTAATGGGCTCTGCCAACACAGATGCTCCTGCTGGATCTCCTTAAAACACAGGTGCCTGGCTGGGCTTCGGAGTCACAGATCTGAACCTCTGCACTCCGAGGGCTGACATCCACATTTTACAAAGTTCAGCAGGTGAATGCCCTGCAGAGCCAGAGACTGCTGCCCACCGGATTCAGGGCTAACAGTGGGCCAGATCCTGAGTCTCAGGCAGCACAGGCAAGGGGTTCCCGGAGGTGACCAGGAAGTGAAGATGGGAGGGGCTGCAGGACGAACGTGAGCATCCACTCCCCAAACCTCCACCGAACTTTACTTCCTCCAGACAAGGCCTTGTCAGTCCCATGGCCCCAGTATGTGGAAGCTGTTTTGGTCAAGATCAAAGTGTTTCCTAACACACTGCCTCCCTTAAAGAAGTTAAAAATGGGTTTGAAAACTTAAATAAAACATTTTGCTGGCCGGAAACGGTGCGTCACGCCTGTAATCCCAGCACTTTGGGAGGCCGAAGCAGGCAGATCATGAAGTCAGGAGTTCGACACCAGCCTGGCCAAGATAGTGAAACCCCGTCTCTACTAAAACTTCAAAAACTAGCCAGGCATGGTGGCTTATGCTGGTAATTCCAGCTACTTGGGAGGCTGAGGCAGAGAATCGCTTGAACCCAGGAGGCAGAGGTTGCAGTAAGCTGAAATCGCGCCACTGCACTCCAGCCTGGGTGACAAAGCAAGACTCTGTCTCACTTCTGCCTCAGCCTCCAGAGTAGCTGAGATTACAGGCGTGAGCTACTGTGCTGGCCTGGAGTCTTGTAATCAACTTTCCTCCAGCAATCTAGGGATCTTAACGCTGCTTTGATTTATCCCACATGCTGCCGTATAGGCCCCAGCTGACAGTCGAGTTTTTTTTTTTTTTTTTTTGGGGGGGGATGGAGTTTTGCTCTTGTTACCCAGGCTGGAGTGCAATGGTGCGATCTCAGCTCACCGCAACCTCCGCCTCCTGGGTTCAGGCAATTCTCCTGCCTCAGCCTCCTGAGTAGCTGGGATTACAGGCATGCACTGCCATGCCCAGCTAATGTTTTGTATTTTTAGTAGAGACAGGGTTTCACCATGTTGACCAGGATGGTCTCGATCTCTTGACCTCGTGGATCCACCCACCTCGGCCTCCCAAAGTGCTGGGATTACAGGCTTGAGCCACCGCGCCCGGCCCGACAGTCGAGTTTATACATCTCCTCAATAAGAAGAAATGGGCCAGATTTTAAAACTCCAAATACCTTAATTTTATGAGTCATGCATGCACTTTCCACAGCAGCAGCAGATGTGATACGATGTGGCACGACACCCTTCTGGAAAGTGGCCACCCCAACACTACCCCAGTTTTTGGTCATTTATGATGTTACCCAGGAAAGGCACTTCAAAGGGGTAACCAGGTATACACTGGGTGATCCTCAGGGACCTGAGACTGCTGGGATTTCAGGCACCTGCTGGGTCCAGGGCTTCATTTGGGCTCTCAGAACCCTGGGCAGACAGTGAAACTCTCACAGGTATGGTCTCCTGGGGGCTTCAAGGCCATCCACCTGAGGCCCCAGGTCTATTACCTACATTTTCATTGTGAGCCTTTTCAGCTGTGATTTGGCAGAAGCAGAGACCATATGCAGAGGGGGTGTGCATGTGTGCACCATTTCAAAGGGCCTTGCCAGGATGTGCCCACAAGAACTGCTGCAGGGGCTGGAGCACTATTTGCCCTGCACCCACAGGGCACTCTTCTTCCCACCAAAACAAACCTTCCAGGTAACTGAGCACCTTGCTCAGCCCTCAGTTCCCATTTTAGCCATTTTGGGGAGGTTTTTTCTAAAATACTTCTTGAATGTTTCCCACCCATCTTCTTGTGGGACTGAACACAGGCTCCTCCCTCCTACCCCAAATGCCCAGCTGCCTCCCTTCAGAGGTGCTTCCTAATTGGCCACTGCCTATTCCAGTGCCCCTGCCCCTCCCAGTGCCCCTGCCCACATCCCACTTCTAGTCTGCCATAGTGAGACAAAGCAGCCAGGTAGGCCTGAGCAAAGCGCTCTGAACCACCCCATCCCATGCTTCCTGTCCTTTCTCCATTGCTCTCCACCTTCACCCCAGCTCCCTGCCATGCATTCTGGATCCCCAGGCCTAAGAGGCAGGTAAGAATGGGGCCAGGCCTGTGGACCGATCTGCCTCCTAATTTATGGAAAATGCTGGGAACGAGGAGCACATCAAAACCCAGTACAGGCACGTAAACTGCAAACTCCAGTTACAGGACAAACAACTGTGTTTCTTCAACTTAAAAAATCCCAAGGTGGGGAGGGCATGGTGGCTCACGCCTGTAATCCTAGCACTTTGGGAGGCCAAGGTGGGCAGATGACCTGAGGTCAGGAGTTCAAGACCAGCCTAAGCAACATGGAGAAACCCCATGGTGGTGCATTCCTGTAATGCCAGCTACTCGAGAGGCTGAGGCAGGAGAATCACTTGAACCTGGGAGGCGGAGGTTGCAGTGAGCCATGATCGTGCCATTGCACTCCAGCCTGGGCAAGAAGAGCGAAACTCTGTCTCCAAAAAAAAAAATCCCAAGGAAAACAAAAAGCTTGCAGGGACCACCAAGATTAATTAAAATAGATGTTAAGAGACACATAAACCAATCACATTGGGTGGCTCCTTATGTGGACCCTGGTTCAAGGGAAAAAATTATAAAAGAATTGAGACAGGCTAGGCTTGGTGGCTTATGCCTGTAATCCCAGCACTTTGGGAGGCCGAGGGAGGCAGATTGCTTGAGGTCAGGAGTTCAAGACCAGCCTGGCCAACATGGTGAAACCCCGTCTCTTCTCAAAATACAAAAATTAGCTTGGCGTGGTGGCGCCTGTAATCCCAGCTACTAGGGAGGCTGAGATGACAGAATTACTTGAACCCAGAAGGCAAAGGTCGCAGTGAGCCAAGTACACGCTACTGCACTCCAGCCTGGGCAACAGAGTGAGACTCCATCTCAAAAAAAAAAAAAAAAATAAGTGAGAAAATTTGAACTCCAACAGGATAGCTAGTATTAAGTATTACATTGCTTTACATGAGCTACCAGTATTGAGGTTATGTTTTTAAAAAGACCCCCCCCCCCCCTTTTTTTTTTTTTTTTTTTTTGAGACAGAGTCTCGCTCTATCACCAGGCTGGAGTGCAGTGGCTCGATCCTGGCTCACTGCAACTTCCGTTTTCCGGTTTCAATCAATTCTCCTGCCTCAGCCTCCCGAGTAGCTGGGACTATAGGCACGCACCACCATCATGCCCAGCTAATTTTTTGTACTTTTAGTAGAGACGGGGTTTCACCATGTTGGCCAGGATTGTCTTAATCTCTTGGCCTCATCATCCGCCCGCCTCAGCCTCCCAAAGTGCTGGGATTACAGGTGTGAGCCAGTGCGCACAGCCTAAAAAGACCCCTTTAAAAGATACACATATTTACAAATGAAATAAAAGAATAAGTGAGCTTGAGGCGGGTTATCTGGGGAGGAGAACGGTGTGGGCAAGGCCACCACTAACAGCGAGTGAGGTGGTGACAAGCTCAACACTGAGTGGTCTTTTCTTTCCACCATGCACATTTGAAATTTCCCATAAGAAGTGAAATTTCCCATAAGAAGTGAAATTTGAAAGGCTGGGGCTTTGGAAACAGTTTGGTTCAAATCCCAGCCTGGCCTCTTACTGGCAGCGAGGCCTCGTGTTCTCAAGCAGATATTCCGCCTACGTCCCAGCTCTGCTGTGAGGGTGGAAGGGAAGCATGCTTTTGGCACAGCTTCTGGACAGCAGCCACAGCCCCACGAACAGCACCTCCAGAAGGCACCCGCACGGCTGCTGAAAAGGCTCATGGGCATCAGCCGGGCTCGCTCTTAAGACACAGGCTCCATCCAGGTGAAGGGGTACAGGGCCCAGGACTGTGGGGGGCCTTCCTCCCTCCCAGCCTTCTAACAATCTCCAAAGTTAAGCCTGGGATCAAAGTCTCATCCTTCCACAGCAGGGTTTGCTGCTCTATCAATAGACTAGGCCTCTGACCATCAAATGCCATGGACCCCATCTTCCCCTCCACTCCTCACTCAAAGCACCAATGACTTTTCTCAAGTGTCAATACAAACCCAAGCCAATCCCAGTGAGGAATGCTCAGTCCTGCTAGTTTAGGAAAATGACATGAAATCCCACTGGGTTATCTGCCCCAACCTCTCAACTGTTCAGTTCAGAGGTGATGTGATGGTTCTAGTTCAGCCTGGACTGGACCCTGGCAGGGTAAGGACATGATCTGCAGAGACAAGAAATCAACTCCCCACTGGGAGGACAGACTCAATGCCTGACCCTGCCGGGCCACACCCACTCTCCCCTTCAGAACGGTAGATCTGGACATCGGTGACAGCCGCCCCACCTGCTCTGGGGACTGCCCTTCTTCACTGGGCAGCAGGAAAGCCAGAACCTACAGGGATAGACAAAGCCTGAGGGCAGCTGCCAGCCTCCCCACTCTGTCCACCATCCACTCCGCAGCCTGCCAGCAGCCAGAGGCGTCCTTGCCCTGGGCTCCGCATCCTCCCCCTTCCTCAGTTTCACTGACCATGACTCCCAGTGGTTTCTGTTACTTGCCAGCAAAGTCTTAATAGGTGACATGGGTGAAACAGTGACATCGAAATAGGCAAAGAACTCAAGCAGACATTCCTCAAAGACACACAAATGACCAACAAGCACCTGAGATGACGTTCAACACTGCTGGTCATTAGGGAGACACAGCAATGCCACAGTGAGATGCCACGTCACAAAAGGGCAGTAACATGCCGAAGGTGTGTACACACTGTGATGGGAATGTAAAACGGTGTGGACATGCTGGCGTTTTGGGTTTTTCATCATTCCCTTCCCCATATCAAGTTTCTTTTTCTTTTTTTCCCCCAGTGGGGGCACTTCAGAGACTACTTGGCAGTTCCACAGATGTTAAACATAGAGTCACCATATGTTCCAGCAACTCTCCTCCTAGGTATATACCCAAAGAAATGAAACACCCGTCCGCACAGACGCTCGCACACAGACGCTCAGAGCAGCATGATTCGTAACAGCCGAAAAGCGGAACTCACCCAAATGCCCAGCAACTAATGATGGCTCTAAGCAAGATGGGTCAACCCAGAGCATGGATTATTATTCAGACCTAAAACAAAATGAAGCGCTGATCATGCCACAACACAGATGGACCCTGAAGACACAATGCCTAGTGAAAGCCAGCCACAAAAGGCCACAGATTCAATGACATATGAAATTCCCTTGTCAGGCAAACCCCACAGAGACAGAAAGCAGATGAGTGGTGGCCAGGGGCAGAGGCTGGGGGGGTTGGGGACGGGGAAGTGATGGCTAAGCGGGGTGGGGTTCCTTTCTGAGGTGATAAAAATATCCTAAAACTGATTGGGTCGTGGGTGGACACTGTGGATGCGTAAGCACCACAGAACTTCGCACTTACAAGGATGGACTTTGTGTTATGTGAATTAAATCTCATTCAAAACATCCCTGACATCCAAGATCTCCAACGTCTCCCTCACAACATTCCACTCAACATTCTCTGCAGTGATACAACAAGCAAAAGAAATCTGCCCACCAGGGCAACAGCATGGCCTGCACATACCTCTACCCCTACTTCCTGGCCACCTCCAGCTCTCTGGGCTTCTGGGGCCTTTTCCCCAGGAGCAGGGGCAGGGTGGGATCAGGAGCTGGGCTGCTGAGTAGCTGGAGAGGAGGAAGGGGCAAATGCACTTGTCGGCAGAGAGGAGCAAACTGCTTAGGAGTCCGAGCTGGGCTGCCCCTCCCCATGTCGCCCCTCCCCATGTCCCACCCCACACTCACAAGCAGGAAGGTTTGCACAGACGCGGTTCTGTCACCACAACTGCCCAAAGGGATGGGTCCAGCCCAGTTTTCGCTCTGCGGGCAGATGGTCAACATTCATGGATTTTTCCTTTAAGGCAATAATCCAGTAGAAATCGCTGAGCCAGCCCAGGCCCTGAGGCTGGCACTCTCCTTAGTCAAAGTGTCTGACTACAGGGGGGCTTGGCTGCACCCAAGGAAGGAGAGGGCAGAGACACACAGGGATCAGGAGCAGGGTCTGCTCCCAGAGGGAGACTCGCTGCGTAAAAAGAAATGACCAGACAGCCTTTATTCCTCCAAAGGCACAAACCCATCAGAGAAGAGACCCAGTTATGGTCAAAGACTCCACCATCAGGTAAGGCTACAAAGACACTAGCAGACTTTGCTTCCGAGTTTGTCCCCAGGTACCATTCCCCAGCTGCCCAGTGGGTTGGGCCTATAATACTGTCCCATTCCCAGGACAGCTGCCCAAGACCTCTACTAGTGAAAGAGGAGACAGTAAACAATGTACATCCAAACGCTGAATCATTAATTCAGATAAAGCAAAGACAGATAAAGCCACATGTAGACTACATTCTGAGAGCTGATCAGTATCAGTTTATTCTTGAAAAAGACTCCTGGCTGGCAGCAGTGGCTCATGCCTATAATCCCAACACATTGGGAGGCCGAGGCGGGTGGATCACCTGAGGTCAGGAGTTCAAGACCAGCCTGGCCAACACGGCGAAACCTTGTCTCTATTGAAGATACAAAATTAGCTGGATGTGGTGGTACATGCCTGTAATCCCAGCTACTCAGGAGGCTGAGCCAGGAAAATCACTTGAAAAGGAGAGCCCTAATCTTATTAACTTCTGGGTACCTTCTTTAGAGATAGCTTAGAAACAGACAAGAGCCCAGTAGATTTTAAATTGACATATTGGGAATCCCTATACTGTGGTTTGAAACCACTATTTTAAAGCAGTGTTAGAACTTTTTTAAATGAAAATCCACTGACCGCTAATACCTGGCCTTGCACGGCTGCAGCTGCTGGGCATCTCCTCCGAGCTCCACAGGGAGCCTGGAACTCGCTGACTGCAGGTGACGGACGGCTGAGCTACGAGAATCTGTACCATCAGCCCTAATGCCCTTCCCTGACTGAAGGATGTCTCAAAACTCAGGAACAGCCTGAAAGCCAAGGTGGAAGCGGAATCTGGTGGCCTGCAGCACAGCAGGAACTAGGCATATTTCACTGTCCTAGGTCTGGCCTATGTTTATTCTCAGCCTAAATGGACTCTGCTCCAAAAATGAGCTCAATCCACCTATTGTGTTCCACCCCCTTGTCAATCTGCTCCCTGTGCACTGCGCCTCAACTCCAGGGTGCACTGCTTCCTCCAAAGGGTCAGCCACACCTGAGGACACTGGCAAAGTGGTGACATCTAGCACCCAGGCTTCCCAGCTTTCAGTCTATACTTGGGAAAAAACAAGTATTTAAACAAGAAGGGATTTTAGAAATTACCTAACACAGGCCGGGCACGGTGGCTCATGCCTGTAATCCCAGAACTTTGGGAGGCTGAAATAGGTGGATCACCTGAGGTCAGGAGTTTGAGACCAACCTGGCCAACATGGCAAAACCCCATCTCTACTAAAAAATACAAAAAAGGCGGCCGGGCGCGGTGGCTCAAGCCTGTAATCCCAGCACTTTGGGAGGCCGAGGCGGGTGGATCACGAGGTCAAGAGATCGAGACCATCCTGGTTAACATGGTGAAACCCCGTCTCTACTAAAAATACAAAACATTAGCTGGGCATGGTGGCGTGTGCCTGTAATCCCAGCTACTGAGGAGGTTGAGGCAGGAGAATTGCCTGAACCCAGGAGGCGGAGGTTGCGGTGAGCCGAGATCGCGCCATTGCACTCCAGCCTGGGTAACAAGAGTGAAACTCCGTCAAAAAAAAAAAAAAAAAAAACATATAGGACAAAAAAGAGCCGGGGGAGTGGCTCCCAGCCTGTAATCCCAGCATTTTGGGAGGCCAAGGCAGGCGGATCACCTGAGGTCGGGAATTCGAGATCAGCCTGGCCAACATGGCAAAAGCCTGTCTCTACTAAAAATACAAAAAAATTAGCCAGGCGTGGTGGTGGGTGCCTGCAATTCCAGCTACTCAGGAGGCTGAGGTAGGAGAATCACTTGAACTTGGGAGGCAGAGGCTGCAGTGAGCCGAGGTTGCACACTGCACTTCAGCCTGGAGGACACAGCGAGATTCCATCTCCAAAGCAAAAAAAAAATTAGCTGGGATGGTGGCACATGTCTGTAATCCAAGCTACTCAGAAGGCTAGGAAAGAGAATAGCTTGAACCTGTGAGGCAGAGGTTGCAGTAAGCCAAGATCACACCACTGCATTCCAGCCTGGGCAACAAAGCAATACTCTATCTCAAAAAAATAAACAGACAATAAAAAAAAAAAGAAATTATCTAGCACAATCTCTTCCTTTGAATAATCAGCCCAATGGACTCATACTTTCCATCAGTATACCAGGATATCACTACTATTTAAGCAATGTTTCTTCTCCAGTTAAGACATGGAAAAGGCTACAAGCTTATGTCCAGGAATTAATAAAAACCCAAGGCCATTCACCACATGGTCTGTGTGCGACACTAGTTCAGACACGAGAAGGTCCCCAGTGACGCAGCCAGCACTCACGGGGTCGGTGAGCATGGTTCTCAGGTGGGACGACAGGGCGAGCACAGCCAAGCAGTTAAAGATGACCCCGTTGACCACAGAGTACCAGAAGTCTTTGGAAGGCAGCAGCATAACGAAAGTCACCACGAAGTCTGCATAGGCGACCAGAAGCCATGTCATGACAGCACAGATCATGCCGCAGCCATCACGGATGAACCAGACCCTGTCGGCCACATCAGCCTCGGAGGAGGACGACGATGAAGAGTCATAGTTGTCATTTTCGGCCAGGAGAGGGTGATGCTCGACGTCCCGGAGCCTGTGTCCTGATGGCTGCATGATTTCCCTGACGCACCCTGGGGAGGGGGACCACACGGAGCTGGTGAGGCTCACGAAGCTCACAAGCCACCTTAAATATGATGTGTTACGGTTTGTCCTTGGCCATTTCATAAGGTTGGTCTAAATCACAAAGTGAGAAAGAACATAAAAATGTAACTGGGATCTAAACATTTAAATCTCTGACCTTACCGATTGCTTTACTACAATATAGTAAGTACCTCAGTACAGATCACACCTATATACACAAAACTGTCACCTACGGCCAGCCATGGCCACATACAAAGATGATGCAAAGCACAGCTAGATGTGAAGTCACAGCGCCGGGTTCCCGGCAGGGTGGAGACAAGCTGTGCCGTATCACTGCTGCACTTGCTCCCCCAGAGCCCTACCTGTCCCTGCTCTGCTCAGCAGCTCACCCCAATGCTCCCAAGCAGATACTCAGCACAGACTATGGCAAACAGCATGATGGTCCTCTATTCATTTTTACACTGCCTCATACACAGTGACCTCATCGGTCTTACCTGTTTTTTCTCCATTTGATTCTCAGTTTATTCTTTCTTCTGATATTTTTGTAGCAGACTCCCATTTTTGTATCTCTGTTCCTTGGTACTCAACCCCTTCCTCTGTTTTTTGTTTTTTTTCTTTAAAGACCAAGTCTCACTCTGTTGCCCAGGCCAGAGTGCAGTGGCATGATCCTGGCTCAATGCAACCTCCACCACCCGGGTTCAAGTGATTCTCCTGCCTCAGCCTCCCGAGTAGGTGGGATTACAGGTGCCCGCCACCGTGATTGGCTTATTTTTTTTCCAATTTTAGTAGAGATGGGGTTTCATGATGTTGGCCAGGCTGGTCTCAAACTCCTTACCTAAGGTGATCCACCCACCTCAGCCTCCCAAAGTGCTGGGATGACAGGCATGAACCACCCACCCCCGGCCTCTTTTTTCATCTTTTAAAGTTTCTTTTTTTCCTTTTTGGGGGGAACAGGGTCTCCCTCTGTTGCCCAGGCTGGAGTGCAGTGGCACAATCATAGCTCACAGACGAGGTCTCACTATGTTACCTGGGCTGCTCTGGAATTCCTGGACTCAATCCTCCTGCCTCAGCTTCCTCAAGTGATGTGATTACAGGCATGAACCACCATGCCCTGCCTTTCCTTCATTTATTAATCTTTTCTTTTGCAAGCCGTCCTTTTGACACTTCTTCCCTATTTCCAATAGCATCTGATTCCTAAGAAGATACAGGATCTAAAGAAACTAAAGAAAAAAGTAGGCCAGGCATGGTGGCTCACGCCTGTAATCCCAGCACTTGGGGAAGCCAAGGTGGGTGGATCACGAGGTCAGGAGCTCAAGACCAGCCTGGCCAAGATGGTGAAACCCCATCTCTACTAAAAATACAAAAATTAGCTGGGCACAGCGGCAGGAACCTGTAATCCCAACTACTCAGGAGGCTGAGGCAAGAGAAACACTTGAACCCAGGGGACAGAGGTTGCAGTGAGCCAAGACCGCGTCACTGCACCCCAGCCTGGGCAACAGAGTGAGAGATTCCATCTCAAAAAAAAAAAAGAAAAGAAAAAAAGTACAATTTTCCTGGTAACTGTTTTGACTGCTTCTTTGACTGTATGCCCTTTTCTCATCAGTGTTTGCTCTGAGCCTTGTAATATCACAGATAAAGAACCAGGGAAAGGAAGAGACAGTCAATTTCGCCTTAGCTTTCCTGCTTTCCCATGGGGAGAAAACACTGATAAACATTGTAACAAACTGACCCCAGCACCTTCTCAGAGCAGGAGGGCTCACCTTTTAAGCAGGCAGAGCGCAAAAACCATGGCTTCTGAAATGTGAATAAGAAAGAGTAACAGGAATGTTTTCAGAGTTCAGGTCACTACAACCAAGTAACAGCACCGTTTTTCAAATCTGGGTGTGACCTTTTCTTAAATACAACTGGAACATAGCAATTATGAAAACATTTGCTGAATGAACATGCTGGTGAGAGTTCATTCGCCAAATACTTTACAAAATTTCCTCTAGATACAAAAATGCTGACTGGTACAAAAGCAAAATGAAACTGTTCTTGAAAGTCAGTAAAATAACCCTATTTTTCCATCAGATTAAAACAGCTTTAAAAAATGTTTAAGGCTGGGTGCAGTGGCTCACATCTGTAATCCCAGCACTTTGGGGGGCTGAGGCAGAAGGATCATTTCAGCCCAGGAGTTTGAGATCAGCCTGGGAAACAGAGTAAACCTAATCCCCACAAAAAATAAAAATTAGCCAGGCATGGCGGCTTGCGCCTGTAGTCCTACCTACTAGAGAGGCTGACGTAGAAAGACTGCTTGAGCCTGGGAGGTTGAGGCTGCAGTGACCCATGATCACACCACTGCACTCCAGCCTGGGTAACAGAAAGACCCTGTCTCAAAAAATAAAAATAAATTAAAAATGCTCAAGGCTGAATGCAGTGGCTAACCCCTGTAATCTCGGCACTGTGGGAGGCCAAGTTGGGAGGATCTCTTAAGCCCAGGAGTTTGAGACTGGCCTGGGCAACATGGGAAGACCCAATCTCAAAAATCTTTTTCATTAGTCAAGCGTGGTGACATGCATGTGCAGTCCCGGCTGTTTGGGAGGCTGAGGTGGGAGGATCGCTTGAGCCTGGGAGGTTGAAGCTACAGTGAGCCATGATCCCACCACTGCATTCCAGCCTGGGCAACAGAGTAAGATCCGGTGTCAACAAAATTGTTTCCATTAAAAAATATTTTTGGGGGGACGATCCAAGATGGCCGTTTAGGAACAGCTCAGGATTGCAGCTCCCAGTGAAAGCGCAGAGGGTGAGTGGACGCCGCGTTTTCATTGCCCACAGACTAGGAAATTCCCGGGCAGAGGAGCTCCACGGTCGCCAGCGCGGCTGTTTCGGCCAGCGCGGCTGTGCCGGCCGGCACCGCTGCTTTGCCCCGCGCGGCTGCTTTGTCGGCGCCCCGGAGCTGCGGTTCTCCGTACAAAATACACTGGTTCGGGGGCCCTTTAGGCTGGCGATTGGAGCCACGGGAAGTCACCCATACGCTGGTTCAAAAAGGGGACTGAGCAGAGAACCAGGACAGTAGATTCCAGGGCAAAAAAAAAAAAAAAAAAGAAAAGAAAAAAAAGCGCCACAAACCTCAGTGCCGCTGTTTAAGCCAGCACAGTGAGTGGCCACAGGGGAAAAAATATTTTTAAAAGTAAGTGTTTAAGTGAATTAGAAGAAACTAAAGAAGAAAAGAGTCTGGACAGCCCCCTTAGCCAGCCATTCCTTCAGCATTGACTGAACCTGCATCTTCCAGCTCTGTCTGCTCAACATCCCTGCAAACACCTTTACAGCGCCCATTTCCTCCACAAACCCCATTCACCCTGTAGGGCCTAACTTTTCTCTCTTCCAGGCAAGCCACTCTGAAAAGAGTGTTCTGTTTCTTCAGAGGAGCACTTTGTAAAGGGGTCAGGGTCTCTAAACATCAGACATGACTATCTGGAGCTGAAGGCTGGAACTGCTTCTGCCTGCACCACTAGTAATGCCTGACTGTCAGCAGCCTGAGAAAGTACCTGGAAGTTTCTCTGCCTCCCCTGAAGCCTTGGGCACGATCACCAGCTCTTCCCGCTGAGTACTTACACTTGTTACCTGAGAGCTCCTGCAAGTCACCTCCCTACCTGACGTCAGCCCCTCCAGGTGGGTGTGGGTCTCCTCTCCCTCTGGCCCTCTTGTGCCCTCCATGCTGTCTGGCACACAGCAAGGGCATGTTTGTTAAAAGGCAGATGCAACAAAGAGCAAGCAGTCCCTCTCTCAGAGTCCAATAATCTCCTGCTGATTTCCATGTAAGCTTCTTGGTGCATCTTATCTGTGGCCCCAAGTACATGAAGGCCTTAAGCTGACAAATTCCTCTGATGAGAACCACTTTATGGTGACTTCTCTAACAGGACACATTCCATGAGAAAAGGAAGCGTGCTTGCCAGGCAATAAAACAAGCTATACTTTTGTCACAGTGCAATGTTTGGGCAGTCTCAGCTCTCTCCAGAAAGCAGGGCCCCTTGAAAGTCTTCTAAAGGCACACATGTGACAGCTGAGCCAGCTCAGTTCTGCCTTCCTGGTTTAGGTTCTGGTCAGACTTCCCTGGAGAGCAGGCTGCTGCTGGGGTGCCATGCCTGACCTTGGGGTGCGGATGGCGGGCACAGCTGTGTAAGGAGAGTGCCCAGAGACGCCCAACATTGGCCATGGCAGGACGTTCCTACAAAGGCAGATTAGGGTGACTTGTAACACTGGAGGGCTTTACTGCCATATCTGTAGGATCCATTGTAAGTCAACATGAAAATAACTTGAGATCCAAAAACTGCTTTATTTTCAAGAAACCAACAAATGAATACAGTAGGGTTAGGCTGGACAAATACAGTTCTCACTAACAAAGTACACTCGCGCCTCTGAGTCACTGTATTTACACTTGAGTAATGCAACAGGAAGGGAAGGGAAAGAAATGAAACCATTCCTTTACATGAAACCTAATCTAAAAGCAAACAGCATGGCCATTTGAGATGCAATATCAAAATGCACACATACCTTAGGAGTAAGGGGACAGCCTTATTCTGCACTGAATTCCAAAACCACTACTGACTTCAGACTCAAGACAGTTTCTGAGGGAGCCATGAAAACACTGTGCACTGTCAGACAGATGTCCCAGAGTCACTCTTCTACATTAATGGCCGATTTAATGGGATTTTGTCAACACTCCTGAACCTAAGCTCTTTATCGGCACATTAAATAGAGCCCTGTTTTCCAGAACACCAAAAGCAACACTGCACATCTCCATATTTAAAGGGACAACCACACAAGCAAAAACTCTCCATTTCAGGCCAGGCGTGGTAGCTCACGCTTGCAATCCAAGCACTTTGGGAGGCCAAGGTGAGAGGACCATCTGAGAGCAGGGTTCGAGACCAGCCCGGCCAACATGGTGAAACTCCGTCTCTACTAAAAATACAAAAATTAGCCGAGCATGATGGCTGGTGCCTGTAATCCCAGCTAGTAGGGAGGCTGAGGTAAGAGAATCACTTGAACCCAGAAGGCAGAGGTTGCAGTGAGCTGAGATCACACCACTGCACTCCAGCCTAGGTGACAGAGGGATACTCCATCTCAAAAAAAAGGAAAAAAAAAAAAACAAAAAAAAACCACTTTCTGCTTCAAGTGTAAAGCTGAGTATTCCCCTTGTCTTGTAACACTGGCCACTCACTCATCAATTCAATCCATGAAGTCCCCTCCACAGACACACCCTCCTTCTAGGACAGGCACGCAGCGACTGAAAAGGAAGGCGTGCCTGTCAGCCTTTGCACCGCACCTCTCTGCCACACGCACGAGTTACCTTTTTAGTAACATACAAGTTAGTGTGAGCTGTGAGAAACGGAACAGTGATGAGACCCTAAAGAATCACACTGTTACCTCACAAATCCTTTGGAAACATCACTTGAATGCTTTGTGCCTTTTCTTCAGGATCTTAAGGTGCATACTGCCCTACGTGATTGGATCTGAAAGACAATAAAATCTGATTAGAAAAGTGATTTATGACAGACATGTATATTTCTTAAAGTATGATTAATTTTTGGAGTGTATATAAGCAATGTAACATTTGACACATCAAGTTCTGTCACTCAGAACTATCCTTAAGGATGAAATTATTGCTCTTCTAAGTTTTGATTACTAGGTAAATTCACAATCCTGGAAATTAAGTAATTTGTTTTAAATATTTCCATTTATCCTTCTGCTCTTTTAGCCCCAGTGTTAAATACAGATCTATAAGCTGAAAAATCCCCTAGGGCAGACCACATTTGCCCAACCTGCACTTCTACCATCAATAAACTGATACTGGCCACAGAACAGACAGAGAGACAGAGCCCGTGAGGCAGGAGGGGCTGGACTGGAAGGGCAGGCCCTGCTGTGGGAGGGTCGAGGAGCTGAAGGAAGACACGGGAACCCAGTGAGAGCTACACAATGAGTAGAGGCTTCCAGCGCACATCTCCCACGTGGCTCCCCAAACCCTGGCAGGCAGGAGGGTCAAGGAATCTTCTCTAGCACTCATATGACCCAAGAGAAAGATCTGAAGACTCCTCAATGCGGTGAGAAGAACTCAACAAAAAGGTTAGATTCACCGTCAGACCTCCCTAAGAGGAGGGCCACAGAGAATCCCTCCCACCCCCGCCCTGGACAGACAGGTTTCAAGTGCTTGTTGCAGCTGTTATGCAAAAACAAAGTCCAAACACGTCTCATGAAAGAGCACAGAGCAGAAATGAAGAGTAAGACTCCAGAACATACATGATGCACAGAGAAGAAAATGTCAACAAGGCACAACTAATTCATATTCTTAGAAATAAGAAGAGATTGTATCTATGAAACAAAAAGAGGAAGAATTTAATAACGTCCTGGTTATTAAACGATGAAAACACAACCATGTATAGATTCTAAATTTTCTTAAACAGAATTGGACAAAAGAGTAGAAATGTCCCAGAGAGGACAACTAGAGGGCAGACAGAAAGCCATGAGGAGAGAATGTAAAATACAATTAGAAGATCTGGTCAGGAGGTCCACCTTCCAAACAGAGGTCGAGTAAAGGGGGCCCCAGAAGAAAGGGCAAGCAGAGCGCCTCGTGGTGGGCTTCAGCTCTGGCTCCCGTGCGGCTGCCTGGCTGCTCCACTCCATCTGTCGCTGATAAGCTTCCACTGCACTGCTTTTTCTGCTTGAGTCAACCCTCAGCTGCTGTCTGAAACCAAGAGCCCTGACTAGTACACCAGGAGACCCCTGGGGCTGAAGAGGGCAGGGGCCAGGGGTCTGAGGCAGGACGAAGAGGTGGGTAAGGGAAGTGTCCCTAGTTTCTGCAAACATATTCTGGGTTGCCTCCCGGTAGCTGGAGATGCAGGTGTCTTGGCGCTGTCTCCTGCCCCAAGTGTGCCACGCCTCCACCTGGGCCAGCTCTGTGGAGGTCCCTGTGCCCATCTCACCCACTGCCAGATCCCTCAGGGGTTGGTTCTCCCTCAGTCTTCTGCCCAGGCCCTAGACAAACACTGACACAGCACTGGTCCCCAACCCAGCTCCAGCTCTCAGGCCGTTCTGAGCCTTTATTTTTATTTTTATTTTTATTTTTTTGAGGGAGTTTCGCTCGTTGCCCAAGCTGGAGTGCAAGAGCATGATCTCGGCTCGCTGCAACCTCCGCCTCCCGATTCAAGGGATTCTCCTGCCTCAGCCTCCCGAGTAGCTGGGGTTATAGGTACGCACCACCACGCCTGGCTAGCTTTTCGTATTTTTAGTAGAAACAGGGTTTCACCATGTTAGCCAGGCTGGTCTCAAACTCCTGACCTCGTGATCCACCCGCCTCGGCCTCCCAACTGAGCTTTTAAATAACAAACTTGGCCAGGAACCCCGTGGTGCTTAAACCAATGGAGACGACTTTAAATGCTGTATGTATGTATGTATGTATGCATGCATGCATGTATGTATGTACGCATGTATGTATGTATTTGAGACTTAGTTTCACTCTATCACTCTATTGCCCAGGCTGGAGTACAGTGGGCACTGCAACCTCAGCCTCCCGGGTTCAAATGATTCTCCTGCCTCAGCCTCCCGAGTAACTGGGACTACAGGCACCCGCCACCACGCCCAGCTAATTTTTGCATTTTTAGTAGAGATGGGGTTTCATCATGTTGGCCAGGCTCATCTTGAACTGCCGCCTCAGCCTAAGTGCACTATTTATATACAGTAACTTTATCGAAGTATCTATGCACCAGTCAGAAACATGAAATGGTTGGTAATATTTTGAACTGTTTTCCAATGAGCTTATCTTAGCAGTGTTTTAAAATCAAAAACTGGTTCGCAAAATCCCAGACTGAGAATTGCAACCATCAGGTCTACACCAGATTTCTACAGTGAGATGAAATCTCCAATAGTTTCATAAATTTTAAAAAGTAACCACACAACCACCAATTTGGAAAGCAGTCTGGCACTTTCTCACAATTAACAACTACCACCAGGCCGGGCACGGTGGCTCACGCCTATAATCCCAGCACTTTGGGAGGCCGAGGCGGGTGGTTCACGAGGTCAAGGGATCGAGACCATCCTGGTCAACATGGTGAAACCCGTCTCTACTAAAAATACAAAACATTAGCTGGGCATGGTGGCGCGTGCCTGTAATCCCAGCTACTCAGGAGGCTGAGGCAGGAGAATTGCCTGAACCCAGAAGGCGGAGGTTGCGGTGAGCCGAGATCGTGCCATTGCACTCCAGCCTGGGCAACGAGCGAAACTCCGTCTCAAAAATCAAAAAAAGAAAAAAAAAAAAAACAACTACCACCACCCTGTGACTCAGCGATTCCACTTCCAGGTATTAAAAGTAAACATGAACACAAGAACTTGTATGACACTGTTCACAGCAGCTTTGCTTTGCTCATCATACCCTCAAAGTGGAAACAAGCCAAATACCCATCAACAGGGGACAGATAACAAACAGTAGTGTATTCCTGTAACGGCATGCTTCCGAGCAAAAAGCAGGAAAATATTACTGAAACAAGTAACACGGCCTAATCTCAAAAATATTCTGCTACGTGAAAGAAGCCAGACACGGAAGAATATGTATAGTGTGATTCCATGTATATGATATTCTGAGTGAGGCAAACTCACTTATTTAGAAAGAAATCAGGCCAGCCAGGCGTGGTGTCTCACACCTGTAATCCTAGCACTTTGGGAGGCCAAGGCAGGCGGATTACCAGAGGTTGGGAGTTAAAGACCAGCCTGACCAACAGAGAGAAACCCTGACTCTACTAAAAATTAGCCGGGCGTGGTGACGCACGCCTGTAATCCCAGCTTCTCGGGAGGCTGAGGCAGGAGAATCGCTTCAACCAGGGAGACGGAGGTTGCAGTGAACCAAGATGGCGCCATTGCACTCTTCCAGCCTGGGCAACAAGAGCAAAACTCCATCTCAAAAAAAAAAAAAAATCAGAGTAAGTGTTTGGGCACAAGTGGTAGTGACTGTGGAGAGGGCCAAACTGTAAGTTGATAGACACGCCTGTATCTTGAGAGGGAAGTGGGTGACACAAGCATATGCATTTGTCAAAATAAAATACAATTCACTGCTTTGAAAAACCAGATGGACTATATACTTTAAAATGTGGAGCCGGGTGCAGTGGCTCATACCTATAATCCCATTGCGTTGGGAGTCTAAGGCAGAATCACTTGAGACCAAGAGTTTGAGACTAGCCTGGGCAACATAGCAAGACCCTGTCTCTACAAAAAATGTTTTTTTAAAGTTGGCCAGATACAGCCTGTACTCCCAGCTGCTGGGAAGGCTGAGGCAGGAGGATTGCTTGAGTCTGGGAGGTCAACACTGCAGTGAGCCGTGTTTGTGCCACTGTACTCCAGCCTGGGCAACAGAGTGAGACCCTGTCTCTAAAATAGAATAAAATGCATTTCACTATTAATCATACCTCAATTTTTAAAATGAGGAGAAAAAACATCCGGCACAGGTATGCATGACAGGTGTGAATGTGCAAGGGTATGGCACAAGGCAAGTCCCAGCGCGGTAGAGACACTTTTCTTCCTGTAACCTGCATTCATGAGTCAAGACCCTGTCTTGGATATATGTGTATCTGTAACTTCAAGCAGATTTCTTAAGCTCTTCCCCCTTACTTTTTTCCTAGGCTATCAACAGAAAACGCATTTCTCAGGAGCACACTGAAAACAAGTAAACAAAAGATACCAGTATTCTCTGGTGATCAGTTACTACAAAAAAAGAACCAAGACAATTATTTTTACCACTGCACTGCTAAGAATGTCCCCCCTAGAGTCTGGTATCCATGTTTCTATTAAAACACTATTTAAACTTGTCATTGCTTTACTCTTCATACACCCACTTAGACCCCCCCCCCAAAAAAAAACAAAAATAAGCAAACCTGTTTTAGGACAGAAGCATTAAAAAAACAAACTCAACCCCTGCCAGGAACAGTCTTCCCACTTCAAACATCAGGCTGGGGGGTGGGGGGTGGGGGGTGGGCATCCGAACACATACACCGTGCAAGGCCCCAAGGGTGTGCAGCCAGTGACAGCTTCAGCCACAGGAGCAGAACACACAGACTGGGGCGGGTGGGAATCAGACTGTAAACAATGTGCAAAGTGCCTTCCCCAAGTTAGGAGGAAAGTGTGATCAGGGAGAGAGATGAAACAGCAATAATGTCAAGAAAGACGACACAGCATGGGTGGTCCCAAACAGACCAGCAAGATATGGACAAGAGAGGACAATCATGTAAGACAGTGCAGAGGCAGAAGGGAATTCAGCATTCCACAGGGAAATGTCACCAGAAGGACAAGTCTGTAGTTCCTAAGGAGTCTAGAATTCTGGACTTCACTCTGCTGGAATGGGAGGCACCAAACCTTAGGTAAACGAAATGATTTAAAAGATAACTGGGGCCGGGTACAGTATGGCTCATGCCTGTAAGCAAATCACTAGAGGTAAGCAAATCACTAGAGGTCAGGAGATCAAGACCAGCCT